CACATTTGTGAAAAAGATCTTAATGAAGATAGAGTACGAGATCATTGTCATATTACTGGAAAATATAGAGGTGCTGCACATAGTGATTGTAATTTACAATTTAAAATTCCAAAATTCATTCCAGTACTATTTCACAATTTATCTGGCTATGATTCTCACTTGTTTATAAAGAAATTGTCAGAAGGAGGTAAAATAAATTGCATTCCTAACAATGAAGAAAAGTATATCAGCTTTTCTAAAGAACTTAAAGTAAATGAATTTACTAATAGAGAAGGTAAAAAAGTTGAAGTTAAACTGTATCTACGTTTTCTCGATAGTTTTAAATTTATGGCTGCTAGTTTAGATAGTTTAACTAAAAATTTGTCAAAAGATCAATGTAAAAATTTGAGTAAATACTATTCTGGAAATGAACTCAATTTATTGTTAAGAAAAGGTGTTTATCCTTATGAATGGGTTGACTCTATTGATAAATTAAATGAAACACAATTACCACCAAAAGAATCATTTTATTCAAGATTAAATGATGAAGGAATAAGTGATGAAGATTATTTACATGCACAAAATGTATGGGAAAAGTTTCAATGTAAAACATTTAGAGATTACCATAATTTATATAACGAATCTGATGTATTACTACTAGCTGATGTCTTTGAAAATTTTAGAGATGTCTGTTTTAACAATTATAAATTAGATCCTGCTTGGTACTATACAGCACCAGGATTAGCTTGGGATGCTGCGTTGAAAATAACAGAAGTAAAATTAGAATTATTAAGTGATTATGATATGATCTTAATGATAAAAGAAGGAATAAGAGGTGGAATTAGTATGGTTTCTAACAGGTTAGGAACTGCTAACAATAAATATATTGAAAATTATGATGAAAGTAAAGAATCTACTTACATACAGTATCTAGATGCAAATAATTTATATGGGTGGGCAATGAGCAAACCCCTTCCAACACATGGATTTGAATGGATGAATGAAGAAGAATTAAAAAATTGGAAATCTACTTCTTGCATATTAGATGTAGATTTAGAATATCCTGAATATTTACATGATGTTCATAATGATTATCCTCTAGCCCCTGAAAGATTAAAAATAGACAAAGTTGATAAATTAATACCTAATTTAAATCATAAGACAAATTATATCATACACTTTGAAAACTTGAAACTCTATGAAAAACTAGGAATGAAAATAACAAAAATTCACAGAGGAATAAAGTTTGAAGAAAGTGCATGGTTAAGTAAATACATTGAACTCAATACAAATCTAAGAACAAAAGCAACAAATGATTTTGAAAAGGACTTTTTCAAACTTATGAACAATTCAGTGTTTGGAAAAACAATGGAAAACATTGAAAACAGAGTTGATGTGAGATTAGTTTCTAAAAGAGAAGAAGCTATTAAATTATCATCAAAACCAAATTATGAAAGTAGAACGATATTTGATGAAAATTTAATTGCAATACATATGAAAAGAACAAAACTAGTTTATAACAAACCCATTTACTTGGGTATGTGTATTTTAGATTTGAGCAAAACACTAATGTATGAATTTCATTATGATTACATGAAAAATAAATATGGAGATAAAGCTAAACTATTATATACAGATACAGATTCATTAATCTATGAAATAAAAACAAAAGACTTTTATGCAGATATTTCTAATGATATTGAAAGTAAATTTGATACAAGTGAATTTAATAAAGATCATCCAGCTGTTCAAAATGGATTTAAAGTTGGTGTAAATAAGAAAGTAATAGGAATGTTTAAAGATGAATCAGCAGGAAAACAAATTACGGAATTTATTGGACTCAGATCAAAGTTGTATTCTTACAAAATAGATGAAGAAGATAAAAAGAGATGTAAAGGAGTAAAGAGAAATGTAGTAAAAAATTATATTACACATGAAGATTATAAAGATTGCCTTATAAATAAGAAAGATCAAATGAGAAAAATGAATGTCATAAGATCTCATTTACATGATGTTTATACTGAAGAAATAAACAAAATAGCATTGAGTGCAGAAGATGATAAAAGAGTAATTCAAGAAGATGGTATTCACACATTAGCATATGGACATTATAAATTAAAAGAGAGTAAAACATTGGTTCCTTCAGAACCAAACTTTTCATTTCAGATTGATTGGAAATAAACAGGCAGGCAGGCAGGCAAACAGGCATGCAGGCAAACAGGTAAGTTATTTTTTATATCTTAAAAAGATCTAAAAAAATCTAATAAAGTAATAAAAATGGACAAACATATCAATGTTGAAGGAATTATATTGCCAAATGTACCCTTAACAAACTTTCAATTAATAAAAGCAGCAAAAAAATTAAAAATTAAAAATTTTAGAGGTGTATTTGTAAGAGATGAATTACCTAAAAATACACAAAACAAAGAATGTGGAATAATAAATACTGGAGATTCAAGTACGAATGGATTTCATTGGATTTGCTGGTATAAAGATGGAGAAGAAAAATTAAGTTTTGATTCTTATGCACTACCACCTCCAGTTGAACTTGTTCAATATTTACACAGTCCTGTTTATTATAATAGTAAAAGAATTCAGTTTGGAGACACTTCCTTTTGCGGACACTTGTGCCTTTATGTATTAAAAAAGCTTGATGAAGGTGTTGATTTTCAAAGTATTGAAAACTCATTATATTGAATTAAAAAAAATATAGTATATAAAAAAAATGAGTATGAATATAGCCGGTAGTAATTCATTATATGGTTACACAACAGATGGATTAAATATCAACATTAATGTTGGCAATACAGCCACTACTGATGTTGATTTAAATTCACATAAATTGATCAATGTAGCTGATCCAACAGATGCACAAGATGCAGCTACAAAGAATTATGTAGATAATAATCAAAATTCTAGCAGTGCATGTCTAAAACTAGATGGAACTAATAGTATGAATGCTAATATAAATTTGAATTCACATAATTTGATTAATGTAGTTGATCCTACTAATGCACAGGATGCAGCTACAAAGAATTATGTTGATACAAAAGATGGATTTGTAATAAACTATATAGAAAGAATAGTTCCTTATCCTCATAAATACAAAGTTCTAATTGTTGCTGGACAATCTAATACATACTACGGTAGAGAATGGGGTAATTCAGACGCTATAACTGCTGTAAATTATATGCATAGAAGAATAGTTCAATTCGGTATGGATAATGGTCAAACTGATTCATTACTTCCTTGTTCTCTAAGACTAGATGTAAATGAATCAGATAGTATGTGCTATGCTGGATATGGTTCAATACTAGCTGGATTAATAATGCAAGATGCTATAGGTTCAAATACATTAAATATGATAAATTCAGATGAATGTTTAATGATACTTCCATGTATGTTAGGTGGAATGGGATTTAGCAATGATTATTTTATGCCTTATGGAACTGGATTTAAAAATTTAACTCGTAGGATTAGGTATATTTTAACCCATTATAATGCTGAATTTTGTGGCGTAACTTGGAGTCAAGGAGAAACAGATTCTGTACCTGGTTGGTGTGATAATTACAGATATATTCTAATGAATTTTATTCAGACCATAAGAGATTATGTAGGGTATTCATCTAATCAATTCGCCACTTTAGCAAACTCACAAGTAAAATCAAATACCATTCCATTCATTACTTTTCAAATGAATCCTACATGGGTTGCAGCTAACTCTGCATTCGCAAGTCCAGTTCAAAATGCGTTAACAAGTATTGGTGATTACATTCCATTTACCTCATGCATAAATATTAATAATCTTCCACCTAACATGAGAATTACAAACGTAGACTCTATACATTACGACTCGCGTCAACAACTATTTTTAGCTCAAAAATTCTATGATGCATTGTTTATAGCTGCAAATAATACAAATGCTAACGGTAATTATATTCCACACAATTACACAGCAGGGGAAACGCTAATGGTTAGACAGATATCATCAGTATCATTTCCAAAAAATTATTATGGAGCATATTATCAGTACAATTCTATTCCATCTACAGGTGCAATATATAGTCAATTATATAATAACTGGAAATATAAAAACAAAGATGGATATTACAAATATCGTCTTAGTTACAACATTAATGGAACATGGAAAAACATTATATTCAAACAAGCATTCCATCCACTGATGTCTATGCATTATCAAAATATTGGGCAACTCATATCAACAGATACACCATTTGGTGGTACAAATTTTGGACAAGGATTTTCTGGACTTAATATAACATCTAATAAAACCTATATGCTTTCAGGAGCTGTACTTTCACTTGATACATCGAATAGTTATTTTGCGCCTGTATGTTTAAATAATAGCTTTATAGTTGAATCTATACCTGTTATTCCTGTATATGATAATTACATTGTAAACAATGCAACCACTATAATAACAGCAACAGAACTAGAATTATATGCTATAAGAGATCCTTTATAATATTGTTAAGACAATTCTACTATGCATAAGCGCTACTACGCGTAAGTAAATCCAGCGCATGCGCATTAAAAAAAATAAAAAAATTTGAAAATGATTTAAATAATTTTTCTTTTATATATAAAAAGAATGGAAAATAATATTAAAGAATTATTAAAATCAATAAATGAAAGATTAAGATTAGTTGAAGAAAAATTAAATATTATTAATATTCATGATATTGAAATGACTGATGATTCTGAAGTTACTACAGTTACTACTACTGAAGTTACTGAAATTACAGAAACTACTGAATATGTTAATGAAGATGATGAAGATGAAGATGATGAAGAAGATGAAGATGATGAAGATGATGAAGAAGATGAAGATGATGAAGATAATGAAGATAATGAAGAAATATTAAAATATGTACATGAATTAGGGTATAAAAGTACAAATGATGCTTTTGAAAATGCTGCTGAAAATGGAAATCTTGAAATTATTAAACATTTACATGAATTAGGGTATAAAGGAAAAGGACCGGCAGTTGATTTTGGATATGAATCAGGGTATAAAGTTACAGAATATGCAATTGATAAAGCTGCTGAAAATGGTCACCTTGAAATGTTAAAATATTTACATGAATTAGGGTATAGAGGAACAGAATTAGCAATTGATAGCGCTGCAGAAAATGGACATCTTAAAATATTAAAATATCTTCATAAAAACGGGTATAAAGGAGCAGAAGATGCAGTTAATAATGCTGCAATGAATGGACATCTTAAAGTATTAAAATATCTTCATAAAAACGGGTATATAGGTACAGAATATGCATTTAATTGTGCAATAAATAACCAGATAAGCGAAGCATCAGATAGTAACCTTGAAATTATTAAATATTTACATAAATTAGGGTATAAAGGTTCAAAATCGTTTTATAATTTAGCTGTAGAAAATGGATATATTTAATAATTTTGATACACGTAGTGATTATAAATTCTAGTAGTGATAAAGCAAACCAATGCTACTACTACACATAAGCGCTACTACGCGTAAGTAAATCTTAACGCATGCGCATTAAAACAAGAAAAATGATTTAAATAATTTTCTTGTGTATATAAAAATAATGGAAGACGAAGAAAAAAAAAATAAAAATAATGTTATTAAAATATTAAAAGCAATTATTCGCGCTATAGAAAATGGTAACCTCGAACAAGTAAAATATTTGCATAAATTAAAGTATTATTATGAAGAATTAGCAATTAATTATGCTACTGAAAATTATGACTTTGAATTAGAGCAACAATTATATAAATTTAAGTATAAATATGAAAAATGTGCAATTAGTTCTGCTGCTATAAACGGTCACTTTGAAGTAGTAAAATATTTACTTGAAATTGGATATAAAGTTGATAAATTAGCAATTAGTTATGCTGCTATAAATAACCACTTTGAAATATTAAAATATTTACATGAATTAGGGTATGAATGTTATGATTGGACAATTGATTGTGTTGCTAAAAATGGTCACCTTGAAATATTAAAATATTTACATGAATTAGGATATAAAGGTACAGAAGATGCAATAGATAAAGCTGCTCGAAATGGTCACCTTGAAATGTTAAAATATTTACATGAATTAGGGTATAAAGGAACAAAAGATGCAATAGATAAAACTGCTGAAAATGGTTATCTTGAAATATTAAAATATTTATATGAATTTGGGTATAAATGTGACAAATGTGTATTTTATTCTGCTGCAGAAAATGGTCACCTTGAAGTAATTAAATATTTACATGAATTAGGGTATAAATGTGACAAATGGACAATTTATATTGCAAAAGAAAATGGTCACCTTGAAGTAATTAAATATTTACATGAATTAGGGTATAAATAAGAAGCAAGAAAAAGTCACGTGACGTCATTTTAAGAATTTTTCGTAATATTTCATAACAAGAAATAAAATTTAACACTTATTTTAAAAAATCAATTTTTTAAAATAAAAAAATTATTTCTTATCTAAATAAATTATATACAACATGGTTCAATGTTAACCCCAATATTAATATTAATTTATGGTTGAAAATTTGGTTGAAAATAAAAAATGGCTGTGGATTGGGATTTTCTTACTACTTGCGGACATTCTGCGGAACGCATATATTGACGAATTACCAAAGTAGTAAGGCGCTTCTTTGCGGAGCCAAAATTTTAACCCACACGTTTATACATACGTTTAGTTATCGATTTCAAAGCGTACTACCCAATTGAGCTACCCCGCTATATCTTTAACGTTTAGCTCTATTTTTTGAGAGTTTCATTGATTATTAATTATTTATTTCCATCATGAAAATAAAAATATTATTTTTAGTTTTTAACAGCATGTTGATTTATTGTGAGGCTATATGAATTAGACTGGAGCTATTTAAAAAAATATTTTCAAATTATAGTTGCCTGAGTTGAAATCCTAATTGTTTAGTACAAAACAAAATCTTATTTTTTTATTTTTAAACAAATTCATGTGGCTCTTTAAGAAACCAACTTTTTTACGAGTTGCGTGAAATTTATTTTTTCAAACAAGGTCATCCTTGGTTTCTAACAAAGCGGAACAAAATTCTTGTTTTTGAAAATATTAATTTTATTTAATGAAATTTTTTGATAAAAAAATTATGAAAATATACCTAAAAAACTTGCTTTTTTCTATTTATTTATTTTAGATGCCCCAAGAAATTCTTACGGTTTTTATCACAGAGCTCCGTAGTAGACCATTTGAAAGGAAGTTCACGCCCCCTTCTTTACCATTTTTTAAAAACTTGCCTAAAGGTGGCGTTGAATCACTGATCTCTAACTTCTGAGGCAAGCACGTAACCATTACACTACGGGTGCTCTGCAAATTTGTGTTAAAAAACTTTCAGCAAACTATGATAAAAAACTTCTGTTTTTGGCGAAAAAAACCACTATATTTTAACAACTTTAATTTTGAATGAAATCAAAATTATTTTCAAAATTAGTATACAATTCTGCTACTTTTGAGTCTCATTTGAGTTGATATTTTGAAAGAACCGCTTAAGGTGCTTTTATAGGTTCTATAGGTACTACAAAAATGCCCTTGCTGCCCTGCAAATATTTTTGTTTGGGATTTGCAGTGAAAAGACTTATTTTGGGTTATGACCTATCAAAATTGTGCGGTGTAAGAGGAACCTCGAAAATTCATCTTAAATCATAACTAAAAATAAAAGTATATTACTTCCAAACATCAATTAAAAAAAAAAACTAATAATACTTTGAGTTATATATTTACTTTAAACGGCGTATTTACTGTACTATAACTAATTCCCATTAAACAATGAATTAGTAATTGCACTTATAAACAGTTACAGTACACAGCAGGGGTGCGGAGTCGTAAAAAAAAGTACCAACTAGTACGACTCCGACTCCAACTCCGACTCTAAAACAAAATTTTTGAAAAATTCTTTGAATTCTTGAAAAAATAGTACGCGAAAATTAAAATTTTTTTTTTTTGCCAAATATATGAAAAATTCTTTAAAGGTTAAATATTTTGTACATGCATACGCAATACCGAGAAATTTTACTATTGGAGTCGGAGTTGCTATTTTGTTTAGCCACTCCGACTCCAAAGCCCTAGTACACAGAGAAATTATAAAAGAACACACTATAGCAGTATAATTTTTAATTGAATTCTGTTGAGTAACAAGCAATCAGAGAGAAGATACTTTTCTCCAGACCTTTTATTTATTACAGAAATATACTGGTTTCATTGGGATATATACTGGTGTTTTATAGAAAACTTACCATTTTTAATTGTATTGAAAAAAGATAAGTAACTTTCTGAGTTTATGATGCAACATTTATACATTTCATTTGTTTAAACAAAAAAACTAAATAAAGGGATGGGTAGTTTGTTTTAGTACTTTAAATAAAAATAACATTTAATGACTACACATTTTTTACGTCTTTTTTTTATATTAATGGTTATAATTCAAAGTTTGTATTGGTTTTTATAAGAATCATGTTTACTGTAAGAATCATGTTTACTGTACAATGCATAATAATGTTAATTATTCCATAATAATGTTTAGGGTCATTATTTCGTTTTGGTTTAAAGTTTCCGATTAGCTTAAGTTTTTAGTTTAATAAATGCTTTTTGGACGTGATTGCGCGGACGTGATTGCGTGACAAAAATTTATGTACGACCCCTTATACTGAAAGTTTTGTTTATTAGTAACAATTGTATTATACAACTATTGTAATTTGCATCCTAATACTAAAACTTAAATTATTCTAGAGTATTTTGTTGCGTATAATTACACCAAAAGAACATCAAACTTTATGTAGGAATGTTCAAGAACAATGAACCAACGTTTTGTAAGCTTGGATCAAATATAAACCAAAAACTACAACTGCAAGAAACATTTTGAAACTTTTACAAAAAAAAAAATATTGAAGAGAAACTCAAGTTGGTCTTTTGTAAATTGTAAAAAAAATTTAAAATCAAGTTCGAGCAGACGTGGCGCAGTGGTAACGCACTTGCCTCAGCAACAAAGTAATCGTGGTTCAAACCTCTGGGCAAGTTTTGCGACCGATTCAGTCTTTGAATTAATGCCATTTAAAAATACAACTGCGTAAGAGATAAAACTGCATTGCTATATGATAAAAAAGCACTACAAAACTCTTATTTAATTAATGGAGGAGCATTCGCTAAGGCTGCAATCAACCTGATACTAAGAACTGAGATTTCTTTTGGTTAACAATAGTTAACTGACAGAAACAGGCAGTGACTGTGAAGGTTTTTTTTTTTTAAATTGATTACAAAAAAATAAAGGATCTAATAAATACAGACGTGTTCAAATTATTAGACTATAGATTTAAGAAAATTATTTTCCGTGATTGAGTTCAAATATCTATTACATTTTCACAAGTATCACAGTTAAAAGATTTTAAGTATAAAATATGACATTTTTCTAATGTTTTTACATACTTTTTATATTTGGCAACGTCACTTTTTTTTTGTTAGAGCGTTTTCAATATTGGGAGGCAAGTCAGCGCATGTTTTTTTTCCTTTAGTAGCAAAACGTTGCAGCAGTTGTTTGGGTGTCATTTTAAAGTAATTTTAATTACTTTTAATTTATTTTCTTTACAAAATTACTTTATGTATAAAAACTTAATTCGAATTTACTAATAAATTGTTTTTGTTTAGGAATTGTACAGTAAAACTGGTGAAATTATTTTATTTTAACAATGGGCAAAAAAAATGATATTTCCCCCAAAAATTATTCTGCTGTAAAAACTTTGTTGGGTGAAAAGGTTTACACACAAACTCAAATAGCTTTAAAAGTTGGTGTAAGTCAGAAAACAGTAAGCAGAATAAAAAAATGTGTTGATAATCAAGAGCCATATGAGCACCACAGAATAGGGAATTGTGGTCGTAAAAGAAAAATAACCCCAAGGACACAAAGAAATCTGGTTAAAATGGCACTTAATAACAGAAGAGCCACATCTAAGGTGTTGTGTCAACAACTTAATGAAGCAGGAGTCGATGTTTCTCCAGTTACTGTTCGGAGAAGGCTTTTTGAAAGTGGTTTGAAAAGTCGTCATCCACAAAAAAAACAAAAGGTTACACCAGCGATGGCTAAAAAGAGGCTAGAATGGGCTAAAATTCATGAAAACATGTCTATCTATGACTGGAGTAAGGTAAAATGTATGCAAAAATTGTATTCAAAGTCATTTTGAGAGTTTTCACTTAACATTTGATATCAAAATTTATTTTAAATATGAAGATGAGTTCTAAAAAAATTTAGGCAATTTTTTTTTCTAAAGAATCTCTCAAATTTTATCTGTAATTTTTTGCTAAGTGTTTCTGTGTACTCATTTGTATATTTATTATATCCAGGTATGTTTTAGCGATGAATCCATCTTTTTGGTGGTGGAAGCTAATATTTTCGAAGAAGACCAGGAGAAGAGTTCAAGGCAGAGTGTGTTAGCCAGAGTGTCAAGCATCCAACGTCTGTTATGGTGTGGAGTGTCATGTCAATACACGGACCGGGAATGTTGTACATCGTAGAAGGCACCATGAATCATGTACAATATATTAAAGTGCTACAAAATAGGTTAATGCCCCAAATTAAGACATGGTTTCCAGAGGGAGATGTAATTTTTATGCACGATGGGGCTCCGTGTCATAAAGCCAAAAAAGTGACAGAATTTCTTCAGCAGAGCAGAATCAAGACATTGCCGTGGCCAGGAAATAGTCCCGACATGAACCCCATTGAAAATTTGTGGGCTGTTGTAAAGAAAAAGATCAAGAAAGAAACAATTACCACCAAAGTGCAACTCATCGAAAAACTGATGCAAATATGGCATCAAGACCAAGACATCAAAAACATTTGTAAAACTCTGGTAGAAAGCATGCCGAGCCGCATTAATATGCTTATTAAAGCCAAGGGGCTCCATACCAAGTATTAATTAGGGTTTTTTTTATATTTACGAACGTTATATCTGTAATATTTTTATAAAAATAAAAAAAAAACGAGAAAAAAATTTTAGTCTAATAATTTGAACACGTCTGTAGATTATGCACACTCTGTATGAACAGAATGTTATTCCCTTACATTAAAATAAATGAAATTTTAAATTTTAAAAATCTTTTTACTTAACTCTAAGTTAGAGGTCTACGCTAGTATAAATTATTTACTTTTTTAAATTGAATGTTATTTTTTGGGATTGAATTTTGTTCGCAATTAGGGAAATCTACGGTATATATATGTAAAATATAAGTATTCATTTAACATATAAGAGTTATATAAGAGTATATAACATATAAAAGTATAAAATTTTGTCTTTGATAGATAAAAAGATTTCTTTTAGTTTTTTTTTAATAAAAGGTAATTCCATTCGAAGGAAATATCAAAGTTTTTCAAAATTATTCTGTTTCAAAGAAAAGCTCCTCAAAGATATTCTTGACTTTACAAAATTAGTTAATTAAAATTAGAAATTAGAAGTAAAAATTAAGTTAAAATTTACAAACTCTTACAAGTCCCAGGCTGTTACAGAAAAGATCAGATTCAAAAAATGTTTTATGTTCTAAGTGATCAAAAAAAGAAGACTTTTTGTCAAGTCAGGAGTATAAGTTTGAGTCGTCAGAAAATACTTTAGATTTAAAGTTGTCATGAAGATTATTAATGTAAATAAGAAACAATAAATTATCAAAGAATGAACCTTAAGACGCTCCAGAACTCAGTGGAAATGAAGAAGATTGCTGACTTTGAGACTTAAATATAGCGTTATGAAAGAATTGATTAAATAATCTCAAATTTTTTCTAGAAACACTATTTGAAGCAAGCTTAAAAAAAATACTAGCATGCCAAATTTCATTGATTGCTTTAGATATGTCAAGAGCGATAACCTTTGTAACACCGCCTCCATTTAATTTGAAAATTTTCAGTCACAGTAATTAGCGAAAAACCGTTAAACAAAAAAATTGAAAACCATATCGATTGTCAGACAGTAAGTTATTTAATACAAGATCGGATGTTAGAAGTTTGTAAATCAAAGACTCAAAGAACTTTGATCCAGTCAAGTACTTATTAAATAGTTTATAGAGAATTGAAAAGAGTTTGGAGAACAGTTTTGTAAGACTATAACAGGAATGTTGTTTAGAACTCAAGCCGTAAAAACATTTTATTGAGAAATTATTTAAGCTACGATATTAGGAGTAATTTGGATGTCTAACAATAGGATAATATGTTTAAATGGTGCGGCTATTAGATTCAAGAACCAAGTTATGGGAAACGTTTTTTGCAAATTATTCTGCCTCGGGAAAGTTATCCTTGGCATAGGTAATAAGGTTAGTCCCATGAACTAGAGATGGAATGTTTGATAGAATGTTCGATATGAATTAGAGATGCAATATTCGACTTTTTTCAAAATAAAACCGTTGAAAATTTTTAATCCCTTGTGCCAACTTCTAAGATAAGATACAAGTTTTAGTTAATAGGAAGTAATATATTTTTAAATCAGACTGCAGCATTAATCGTTAATTTTTTTTAATAATAAAAACGACTTTGTTCTCAGGAGAGTCATTCTTTTGAAAAAGAAGAAAAAATTATTACAATTAGATATAGCATTATATCTGCACAAGATATGGTGAAAACCATTGAGTTGAATAATGCTTGAGTTGGGACCGACAAAAATGAATAGAGCTTCCAAACCTGCTTTGATCCAGGTGGTTACGTTGGAGGTGCATTTATCAGCAGAGAATAAATAGTGATCAAAGACAAAATAGGGTCAAAGATAAAACGCAAATAAAGGAGTAAAGATAAGTGATTAGGGTTGCCTAGAAAACAAGTCACAAAGTTAAATAATTGAGTAAAAGATTGAGAAATACAGAAGTTATCGGTTTTAAAGCCAGCAGAATAAGTGGTGAATCAAGCTATTTTGTGAGATGAACAAAAAAGAGTAAGACAATAATTATAAAGGTAATAATCAGATAGTAATAATAAAGGTGGTAATCAGAGGATTTAAACGTGACTTTTCGGCAAATAAGTGAACTGATACGTGAGTATACCACCAAGCCAAACATGCGATCAATCTTGATTCATTCGTATATAGAACATGGCAAACCAAGCGATAATTTGTGCAGTTGGCTCAGTATAGCAAATTATTCCAAA